ACACACACACATATACACCCCACGCCATTCTATTTTAAAGTATTTGTGTTACTAACAGTAAAAGTTATATGTTGGTAAATGCCCTGAGTCGTTTCCAACTCTTAGTGACTCTGTTTAGGACTTCTGAGGCTTTAAATCTTTGCGGAAGCAGAAAGCCTCATCTGTCTTCCGAAGAGTACCTGGTAGCCTCGAATTGTGGACTGCACCTTGTGGTTTGCAATCCGGTCCTTATCATATGGAGCCACCACGCTTCCAAAGGTCACATGTTGTTGTTAAGTGCCGATGAGTCTGTTTCAACTCATAGCAACCTTGTATAGAGTTTCCAAGGAGTGGGTGGTAAGTTTGAACCCCCAACCTTATGGAGCAAACCAACCGTGTGGTTCAGTATTTTATCCCACATTGCCACACCAGGACTCCAGAAAAACTAAGTGGGAGTTCCAGGGACACTAAATGAAAATGTAATACTTATCAGTGGTGATAAATTGTTGAAAAATATGTTTTTCAGTAATACTTACTCTGAGACTGATACCAACTCTACTTTTGGTATTTTAGCATTCCATCTGTGATTAAAGCCCATGGAGCTCACCTGAAAGCCAGTGCTGCAATGGTTCGTTTAAGACTTTACGATATCTTGGCTTTGTTACCTCCAAAAACTTACGAAGGTACCTATACTTTGTGGTATCAGATAGAGATTTTTTATTATGCATTTGAACTTCTCCACAGTATTACAGAATTCTGGATCAAGGATTTCTCAATGAATGGCTTGCTTTGCAAAGGAAAGCAACCAGGTTACTTTGCCATACACAGTAGCTGACATTTAGGGAGCAATTACTGTATTCCCGGCACTGTTCTAAGCCCTTCACCTGCACAACCCTAAGTGGCTGTTAGCCCTATTTGTAGGTGGAGAATTTCAGACAGCAAAAGTATCTAGACAGCCCAAGGCATACGATTAGTAGGTATCAGAGTTTGTATTCAAACCCAGTTGGTTCAAATTCAGTCTGTTTATTTATTTACCTAATCAGCTTGAAGGGAGTTCAAAAAGTTCTTGGGAAAATGGAATTGAAAAATAAAGAACATTTTCCCTTAAGTTTTTAGACTCATGTATGTGATAACACAAACAATAATTTAGGAGTCTGGAGGGAGAGTAGTAACGTACTTTGTGGAAATCAAGTGTATAAAATGTTTTAACAAACCATTGATTTTTCTCTAGTACAACCAGGCCCAAGATTTTTATATACTCTGGCTCAGTGTTTGCACTTCATCAGGCAATTATTAATGTTACATTTAATACATTTAAAATAAAGAATATTTCCTGTTATTTGCGTTTTTGGTTACTTTAAATAATATGGACTAAAGTACACAATACAATAATATAAAATGAATTACCATTATTGTGAATTAAACTCAGCATTAAAAATGCTTAATAAATATACTTTTTAAGGGAGTAAGGGATTTAATTGTTTTCTTTCTGTTGACCTATTCAGAAATGATTGTTATTTTAATATGAATTGTTCTGATCAGAAACTCTGCTTTCTAGGCTCTTTCAATGCACTTCTTAGAGAATTAGTAGCAGAATTCACGTTGACTGACAACTCTGCCAACACAACTACATCTCTCCTCCGATCCCTGTGCCATTATGATGATAGTGTTCTTCTTGGCTCCTGGCTTCAAGAAACTGATCACAAATCAATTGAAGACCAGGTAGTAAACACAGGGAAATGAAATGCTGCCCTATTACATATTGTCATTTAATAAGAGAACCAAATTGATTTAAGGCTAGTTTCATTTAGCTTTTTTAGACACTTAAAGATCATGCTGGATAAATACTGAAACAAGATAAACAGCACTAGTTAGAATTTGGTGAATTGTCTTCATTCAGTACTGTTTATATTTAGAGAGTAGTTGTGTCAAAATCAATTTTAGCTGGCTTTTTGGCTATTTGTGCTTTATTTTATGACAAGTTTAGAGAGCAGTGGGATTTATTAAGTTGAAAATTTATCATTTCTTCCCTCAGTGAATATATTATTTCTCATATACTTTTTTTGAAGGATTGACTAAAATCCCATTATAAAAATATTTTAAGTGTGTTTAAGTATTTCAGATATTGTTATGCTTGCATATAAAGGTGAGTAGCATAAAAATGTATGGTTTAAAATGAACATGGCATATGTAATTGAAAGTACTGGCTTAATTTAAAACTATGAGCCAATCCTATGCTGTCGTTTTAGTGAGAAAACATTATAGATTTAAGGCTTAATTTTCCTTTGCTCTCTTGGACACTTTAAGCATGCTATTGGCTAAGATGTGTAATATAATAATAAAAAAGGAATTATCATTGTACATTAAAAGCATCACTAATATTTACTATGGAATTTTTAAATAAGGAACAAAGGATTTCATTGTTTTATTCCTGTTGACCATTGGGGAAATGATTGTCATTTTCATAGAAATAATTCTTTTTAACCTTAAAGATTATATAAAGTGTTATAATTAATTTTAATGGCTGAGTTATATTTTATCTATTTTTTAAAATTCAGATTCGTGTTGTCTTTTTGTTGCATTTTCTCTTTTTTCCTTTGCTCCATTCCTTATGCCTGATACACAGTAAATGAATTAAGTTAAGTGGATTTTGTAAGCTTCTCTCTTTCATTCTTTTGTAGCTTCAGCCAAATAGTGCTTCTGGAAGTGGCGCTCTAGAACATGATCCGTCCTCCATTTATTTACGAATACCTGCTGGGGAAGCTGTGCCTGGTCCTCTTCCTCTTGGAGTGTCAGTCATTGATGCCTCTGTGGCTCTTTTTGGTGTAGTGTTTCCTCATGTTTCTTATAAACATCGGTTAGTATAAAGTTGTTCACGTAATTTTTGTTATACATGTTATATTCAAACAGTAGCTTTTTCCTTCAGTTAACTGTTAATAGTCTCAAATTAAAAGGTACCTCATAACATTTGTACATGATAGTTTAAATCTGGAACTGGGGAAAATGAGGTCATTGATATTTTTCCTAATGTGATGAGCATTTTAGTTTGCTATATTCAGTGTCCACAAAAAATTGGCCTAATGTTAGTAGACATTTTGTTAAATACATGGTGATTTTCCTAAAGAGGAGTGAAGATGAATTAATGGCACAAAAGTTTTACAAAATATGCTTTAAAAGCATTATTATATTTGTATATAAACGCTAATGGAAATGGACTTCTGGTGTGGCGCTATAGGATCACCACTGAACTGCGAAGCACAAGGTCGGCAGTTCAAACTCATCAGCTATTCCTTGAAAATGCTATACAAGGTTCCTATGAGTCAGAACCAACTCGTTAACAACAATAACAACAACATATAAAAGACAGCATCTTTAAACTTGTTGGCTTCTTGATTAATTGCTCTTTAATTGAGAAGGCAAAAGGTCATGAGCATTTACTTTACCCAGATATCTTCAAAAGTATTTCTTTGCCACAGAAATATCAAACATTATATAGGAAATGGTCTCATAAAGCATCTTTGTTAAAGTACTTATTTTCATTTTTGAGCATTTTATTGTGTTGTAGTGAAAGTTTACATGGCAAATTCGTTTCCCATTCAGCAATTTATGTAACAGTTGCTCCATGACAGTGGTTGCTGTGTGTCAGCATTCTCCCCATTTCCACCCCTTTTCCCTTTTCCCGTCCTCCAATTTCTGTTTCCCTTCTTGCTGTCTTATCTTTGCCTTTGGACAACTAATGCCCATTTGATCTTGATTAGTTGATTGTTACAGGAGTACATTCCTCCCAGAGGTTATTGCTAGTTTATAGACCAGTCTTTTATTTGGTTGAAAGATGACCTGGAGCATTGGCTTTAGGATTCAGGTTAAAAGGGTGCCTTAGGGCAGTAGTCTCAATGGTTCCTTCAGTTTCTTATCAGTCCAGTAAGTCTGATATTTTTTATGAATTTAAGTTTTGTTTTACATTTTTCTCCCATTCTGTCATCATATCTTCGATTGTACCCCTGGTGGTAGTAGTAGTGGCAAATAGTGGTAGTCGCGCACCAACTAGTTCATCTGTTCTCATGCTAGGGATCATGTGGGTCATTCATTCTGTGGACTAATTGGTTCCTTGAGTCTTAGTTTTCTTTTATTCTCCTCTGATATCTAAGATAAAACTATTGGAAAAAGGCCAATTGTTGTATCTTAACTGTACGCTTGTATGCTTTTAAGACCTCAGAACCTGCTCACCACACTAAGATAATAGAACATTATTGTTATGAATTGTGTTATGCCAGTTGGCCTGTATGTCCCTCAAGACTGATCCTTTGTCTTCTAACCCAGTAACTCAATCTCATGAAGTGTTTGGATATGTCTGAGAAATTTCCATTACTGTGCCCCTACATGCTCTTTTATATGAGGGAGCTTCTGAAAATTCATGGAAAAATGAAATTAAAAACAGCTCCATTTTTCCACAAAATTTTGAAATACCCTTGTACAAAATATGTATGTACAGATGCCCATAATTATACCTTTATATACATGTGCATGTACTCCTATAGGCCCTCCTATACCTCTTATAGCATACATAACTGTCTGTGTAACCAATTATAAAACTGTTTATTTTAAACCTAAAGTAATCCAGACCTAAAAGTTGTGATTTGTCCAAAGTTACACGGTTAGTTAATTTGCTAAAACAAGCACACAAGTTGTCATTCCAATAAATATTTTTAAATTAGGAAATAAAAGTTTAAAAAGTTTCAAGTCAGCATTTTAAAAAAGGCTACATGTTTCAGCTTGGGTATAGGCAAATGATGTTATGATAACTTGGAGATTATATCTGTCTTTGTATGTGTACTTGTTTTAGAAGTATAAATGATAATACCTTGCTCTCTCACCCAAAGATATGGATTTATATTAGAAAAAGTGTAACAATAATCAATTTTAGACCCAAATAACTCTTAGTAGAGTTCATACTAGGGCCTGGATTATTTCATCCTGGCTTATTTTTACCTGAAATATATGTCCTGTCATAAATTGAACAAAAATCCTCATAATGACTTTACAGAGATTTTAGTTTCCTAGTTTAGGTCTTACTTAACTT